ATGATATCTCCTCGCCCTTTCCACCGATCACCTTCAAACCTCTGCTATATACTCTTAAGACATAGAGGAAAAAATTCAACCGTCGGATTTTAAATAAGTATAAAGGTGTGGGCGTGGCTAAGCCTCAAACTTTGACCAGTCGCCATTACCTTATTTGACTTAACAACTCCCATGTGCATGATCAGATCAATTTCATACTTTGTCTGTGTGATCACTGACCACATCTGAAGACAGTGACAATGTGGACAGCTGACATCACCTAAGCCCCGCCCCCTGACTACAGGAAGTCAACTGTTTTATGGTGAAATGCCCATATTTGTTCCCTCTAATTTAGTCAAGATGACACTAAGGTCACGCACTGTCTTCATGATGTTGTAATGACCATTCAGATCTGATAGCTTTTCAGAAAGGCAGGGGCTTTGATGCCATGGCGATTTCTGACGTGACGCTGTGACCTTACGTTTGACTGTAACTTCCACAAACAGCCTCCGACTTGCCCGAGACTGAACATCGCATCACCAGTGTGGTAAAGATAGAGTATCTCCTAGTGGTGAGACGTGTAATGGTGGGCTCAGAGGGGATGCTGAGTCAGGGTAAGGTGTGGACGAGGAGGCCGTTCACGGTTTCTGGTGTCGGGGTGGTTGACTTTCTGTTCCGCCAGACGTTCCCTGGTGCCCCCGGCTGCCGGCCAGGATGGAGAAGCGCGGAGCTGGGTTTGGAGAGCGTCGGGGATGGAGCGGAGGGGGTGCGGAAGGAGGGCGAGCAGCTTCGCTGCGAGGGCCGAACGACGCTGCTTGCAGCTTTAATTACTTTTTACTCTTTGACATTGGATGTGCTACTGCCCATTTCATTATAGATTCACTAGGATAAATACAATAAAGTTATCTCTCACCAAATAAAAAAATTACTAATAAATCACAATGTAACCATTGAAACACTACTTGGTGCGTGTGTGGTGTGGTGTGGTGTGGTGTGGTGTGGTGTGTGTGTGTGTGTGTGTGTGTGTGTGTGTGTGTGTGTGTGTGTGTGTGCTCTGTCTCCTCGATCCCCAGTGAGTCGTGGTGGATGGCTGCTTATACTGAGCCAGGATCCTCTGGAGGGAATTTTTCCTCTCCACTGTCACTACATGCTTGCTTAGTATGAGGATTGCACACTAGTCAGTGACTCGATGCAATTTGCTGGACTCCTTATATAGGAAACATTTTTCTGAATGGCTTAATGAACTGACCTGAATTGGAATGTTTGTATGTGAAGTGCCTTGAGACGACCCTTGTCGTGATTTGGCGCTATACAAATAAACTTGAACTGAACTAATCAAAGCTGACAGAGGCCTTCAGGTGTCTAAGCCAGAAAACACGGTTGAGCGACTCAATAGCGAGGCATGCATCAACTCAAAGAGCTATGGTGATTTAGTGGTTTCCCTCAGAATCTCCACAGGCAGCCAGGACGACGACAGCCTCACATGGGAGCAAGTCGACTGCGTTGCTCGGCTGCCCAGAGCAGCCGCTCCTGGCCAGGGGAAGCGGACCCCCACCTCACTTGGCTGCCTCTGCAGATCTGATTGTGGGGCTGCCGCTGCCGAGGCAAAGACACTGATTTTAATGTTTTATTTGAATACAATTTTAAATGACACAATTAAAAGGTTGTTTATTATAAAACAGGTTGAGGAGATTAAAAAAATTCCATTTTACAGACATTTGTGATGCTGTCCTGTAAATGGATAAGGACATCTATCACTGTAGCCAAAATAAATCAAAACCAAGAAGAGTGACAGGAAGCTGAAGTGAGCTACATCCACAGTGGATGAATGTGTGTTTGTCTGCGTTTAAACATGAGCTCACATCCTGTTGAGGCGCTCTGAGGCTGCATACAGCTGCACATGGTTACGGTCGACAAATCAGCCCAAACAAAGCGTGTCATTACAGCACCTAGAGCCGTTCTACATCCACCACATCTCTTATCAGCCTGTTCATCAGTCACTGTCCCCGGGGCAGGACATTCTTCAACCTGTTCTCCGGGTCTTCGTGCATCCACATGAGCAAACACGCACTCAAAGATTAACAGCAGCCATATCTTATTTTTAGATCACAAAAACCCTTTGGCAAAACTTTTACAAGCCAAACTGGTTCCGCACAAACATCCGAGCAGCTTCTGACGGATGCTGCGGCGACACCAGCAGTGACAGATGGAACCAAGGGGAAAAAAATTGCTTTCCTCCTACACTGGGGGAGCATGGAGTCCATGCTGTGTGGAGTTTAAAGTGAACTTGACTGAAAACATTTTATGGATCTATTTTTTCGTCTACGCCCTTCCCTCTTTTTCCACCTCCTATTTTCTCCATTCATCCCCATGTGGAGGGCCTTCCTAAACACGCTCATCTGAGCAGGAAGGTGGTAGTCTGAGCCAAAAGTGGCAGAATATGAGACATGGTCATCTCCCTTTCCCTTACTGCTCCTCCTAAAACCGAAATCTTTGTCAGGCACAAAAAAAAAAGGTGTTTGTTTCCTTCAGTGGATTATGAAAGAAAACAAACAGGCAACTCGGAGCTTCAAAAAGTGGAAGTTCGAGTCTATTTTTGTGTAAAAGGTTTTACGACCTCCAGATTTGGAATGCATCACCTCCCTGCCGCCTACGTCTGGATACTACTCACCCAGAAAGAGCAACACATGAGCAGCTGTCTCCAGATAGCAGAGACACAAAAACTTGCAAAGACTCCGCGGTGCAGAGATGAGCCGTATTTAGCAGCTGGAGAGAAAAAAAAGCTACTTCTTTTAAATATCTGCACAAGTACACACTTTAGCTTTCATAACAAGGATCAAACTTAGCTTCAAATAAAACAATCAACGCTAAAGCATCTAAAATAATTTGCAGGCATCTAAAAGTAGGCCTGAAAGGCATAAAGATAAATAAGTTATATTCATGTAGTTTTTCTTTAGGCTAGTACTACTCCACCAGTACTACTCCACTGGTGGAGTACAGGACACTGATTGTGATGAACTGTTTATCATTGACTATAAAAACTAGCTAAGTGGTGGTTTTGTGATGTTTTTGACAATAAACCAACAGCTAATGAGCAGACCAAGACGTTTTGGCAACAGAACGGCCCTTTGGTTCTGTTAATTATCGAAGACATATTTATAAAAACACGCTATGCTCTGTTTTGATGCTCTCGTTCACTCACATTTTGAATAAATCTGCAGTTTCTAGTATAAATTCACTTTGTTACGAGTCATTCTCTGTGGAAAACAATCTGGCGCTTTTTTTCCCCCAGGTAGTAAAAGTTAGCCGGAGCACAGGGGGAGCCAAATAAAATGGATTTGGACTCCTACTCATTATTCATGCATCTCACCTCTGATTGGCTAACAGCAAGACGACTCTTCCACTGCCTTCGTTCACTTTGCAACATTGATGTTTTATCTCCACAAATAACACAAGATTTTAGGGGTGTTTTCAATGTCAAGGAGGACACTGTCCTTCCTTGGTCAAAGAAAACTGTTAAAGGGAACAAACTTACTGGCTCTGGGAGCCGCGGTCGCATCACGTGAGGCAAAGTTACATTTTATATGTATACGTTTGAATATAGATGTATAACAAGCCTTTACTTTTTAAATAGTGTATATATTGCTTAAATTAAATATGTAAGTGAGTTAGTGCCTGCTAGCCACCAAAGCTGCAACTAAGCAACCATTGATAACTGCTTTGGATCAAAATAAACATTTTAGATATCAGCCAGATAGTTACAATTAGTTGACTTACATTTAAATTGGAAATTTGCCCCCTAAGTAGCTGCTGCCGGCTCCTGATCCACCTTCCTTTTGAAAATCCTGGGAAAATTTTGACCCAGAGAAGGCAACAAGACACCTCCCATGTATGCTTAGCTAGCTAAACGGCTAACAATTGCAGGACAGACGCCTCAGTAGCAGCACATGGACATTGGAACACGCCTCGGCAGTTCCTGATGACGTATCTCCTAGGCAACCGGGGTGGGACCAAGGCATTGAGGCAGGTGCCTCAACACTGAGAAACACCCAAGGGGTTCTGCTATGTGGTGGAGTTGCTAATGCTAACAGTTAGCTGCTACTAGCTGAGATTTTCTCTGCCGTTTCCTGGATGCTAAACCAACAACAACCTTCTGCAGTCGCAAGCCAAGGTGGCTTATTCCATGAATGTTAAGTGACAACGTGACGTTTTTATGACCAGTGTGTTTCCCCCTCTCTTTCCTATCAGCAGCTGATGCAGGAAATAGGTGTAGAGGTCCATTTTCACATTTAGCCTGCATGTTAAACTCAGGGCGACTGACCGTTCTTCAAAAAGAACAAGTAAAAAAAACAGTTTCTTGGTAGACCTGCTCTTTAGCATCAACTCAGTCACACAGCAGGGAAGCTAATCAACCGTTGCTAGGGAAAAAGCCTATAAGAAACTTAAATGTGCTTAGATATTCAAATAAATTAGTGACAAAAGTGATGCAAATAATAAAAAATGCACAAAATTCAAACATCTGAATCATAAATAACAGAAAAAGATCAAAGTTACACCCAGTTGAAAAAGGACTCTTACTGGTTTACTTAAGTTAAACTGGAAGTTTCTGGCTGCAGCCAGATTTTCATCATCTGTGTGTGCGTGTGAAAGCTGTTCTGGGTCTCTCATCATCGCCCTCGCTGACCTACATTCACTGATCATCTACACAGATGAGCTCAAACACTCGTCCGTTCTGTAAAGTTTGCATTTTAGCATTAGCTACTGCATAGATGAAGTCAGAATAAATACGAAACAGCTCATGTCATACTTTAGTACGTAGCATCTGTTACCTAGACCACACACCCTGCTAGGAGTGTTACACGTTACAGTGGAGAATCACACAGCTGTTAACAAAAGAGGCAACCTGAGCAGAAGGCTGCTGCAAACGTGTTTCAAAACAATAGTTAGCATAAACCTCAATGAGCCTTTAAGACGTTTTTATAGAAAAGATTATAACGAGAAAACGGATCAGAGGGACTTACTGTCTGCTGGGCGGGTTGTGGACAACTCTAGGACCGGAGACACCACCTTTTCCTGTTGAGGCTCCGTGAGAGACGGCAGGGAGGCGATGGGAGCTGGTGGTGGGTGGATGCTGTTCTCTACTGCGCTGCCCGACATCAAACTGTCCTGCTGTCTGAAGATGGGCATCTCTGGTCTCCTGGAGACCCCATCAACAGGGCTGAGGAGAGAGGAAGGGGGCTCTGCTCTTCTCTGAAGAGGCTCTGGGATCCTAGAAATAGAAGATGGAGAAAGTGGGGCATCCATCCTCCTGGGTGGGGCAGGAGGCTCCTGGGACCTTGTCACACTGAGCTCGGCCCGCCTGTTTGTGGTGCTGGAGATGGAGTTGGAGGAGCCATCCAGGGCACTACTCCTGCTGCTCAGGCTCACTTCTGGACGTTTTAGGCCAAAACGGGCAATACCAGCACTGGGTGAGCTGTCAATCTGTTTGGACGAGACCTCGATGGACATTTCTGTCCGACGGGAAGAGCCAGAGTCAGAATTGCGACTTCCTAACAACTCAATGCGCCTCATGCCGGTCTTTGGAGAACGTAGACTGGAGGACTCGGAGGCAGTGGATCTGGAGTCTGAGTTGCGGGAGCTCAGATCGTAGCTCCGTTGGCTGGATGTGGAAGATGTCGTGGATCGGAGGGGGTTGGTGCGGCGAGAGAGAGGAGACGGGGTTGTGGATGTATCGGAGTCCTCCACCTCAAATGACCTCTTCAGTGCTGAAAAAAATAAACATCTGTGGTTAGATAAGAAAAAACTAGACAGAAAGCTTTAAAATTATGCATTTAACATAAAGTCAATCGTTAAAAAACAACACTGATTAAGTTCCTCACGCAAGAGGCTAAACAGTATGCTGGAGTAAAGAAGCAGCTGATTTTTAATTAAACCTGCAACCATGGCTTGATTGTTAAATCAAAAACCGTCACCCGGGAACAGAATGGACAAGCTGCATCTGTTCAGTGAGGCCGCAAAAAGCAAAAATACCACAAACACTGCAACGAAATAAGAAAAGACAAAAGACTGCTTTATTTCGAGCTGCAGGGAAGAAGCAGTTGGGCACACCTCTGCCAAGTTGAAGCAGGAAGGTTGAAGGTTCGAATCCCAGCTGTGGCCTTTTTGCATGGAGGTTGCATGTTCTCTCTGTGCATAATGATTTTCTCCAGATCCCACAGCTTCCTCCCACAGACCAAAGAACATACATCAGGTTCAATCTTCCCAGGGTGTGGGTGAAGCGTGTGCATGGTTGCTTGTCTTGTGTGTCCCTGTGATGGACTGGAGACCTGTCCAGAATGTCCCCTACCTCAGGTCTGATGTCTGCCAGAAATAAGGCACCTGCTCACTGTGACCCTAGTGAGGATTCAGCTGTATAGAGAGTGAGTGTCCATTCCACCAACATTCACTTTAGAAAAGTGAACATCTGAACATTGTGATTTATCATTTTGGGAAAAATATTAAGTCTGTCACGTGTATTTTTTTTCAGGGAATGTATTTACATTAAGGGGTGGAGCTTCAATTTCGTTTAACAACATCCAGCTGTGTCCCCGTTAAAAAATGTTTCCCTTCATGTCTGATTTCTCCATTTTCAGCCCAAAAAAGGGCTGAAACCTGATTGGTTAATAACATCATTAACATCAGTGTTCCCGTGATGAGTAAAAAAAATAAGCTACAATTAGAAAGGTAGACCGTTTTAAACGGGGGAACATACCTTGACACAACCCCTGTTTACTTTCTAACGTCTAGTTATTGAGAATATTGATGGTTTAGGGTTGCTAGGGAAGGAGCGCCGATGTAACTGAGTTTTAATAATTCATGTCCCAACCACGCACGAGTAGAGATATTTGCAATAAATCAACAAGCATTAAGTCAGAACGGCAACAGAAACCTGACTGCCTCGTTAGAAAAAGGCAAGGTGGACAGAGACGAAAGATGTTTGTAACCAACCACAACAAGCGACAAGACTGAATGACGCACGTAAACAAATTGTACAACTTTCTTACCAGATTTAGCTCGTTTTGCGTACTTCTTCAGCATCTCGTTCTAGTTTACAAATCCACTCAACAAGACAAAGCTTCTGGAGCAAGCGGCGCCAGGAATTAGACCCTTGTTACCCAACAGGGGTAAAAAGATATGTAAAGATCACATCACGCGCACCTGGGCTGACCACGCCTCGCAAGACCAATAAGTGATGACTTAGAAAGTGTATTTAGAAAGAACTCTGTTTCACTGACAGGGACAAAAAATAAAAAATAAAAAGGTTTCATTGAGAGGAACGGTATGGGTCGGAGCGGGTCGGGAGTTAGAGCGTTTCCATCGCAGACATCCTGACATAGACGCCCCGTGTTCTTCACGCTGCACATTAGAGCTGCCGTAGTGGCTGGCCGCCATCTTGGATAGGTCTCAATTTGCCCCATTGCATTTATTTCTACTGGAGAAGGTGTTTACCCAACTAAAAACACATTTTATTATGCGTTTTCACACAATCAGACACATGGTATGGCATGATAGTTAAAATAATAATATAACAATAAAATAATAAATCAAATTATAAAATCCAAACAGGTTGAAAAGTCCCAGAAAAGTTTCACGTGATCTGTATTCAATAGTGCGTTGTTGCAACTGTAAGCTGAACAAAAAAAAGGGATAGTTGCTCACTCTGCAATGACTCCATTTGGGTTTGGAGAGTGGGGGAACTCATCCAGTATGGCGGAAACACTGTTACACTCTTCAGTGTCTAATGGGGCGCCTACGTATTCATGTCTATGGTTTCAATCTCCAGTTAGACCAGGGGTGCCCAATCCTGGTCTTAGAGATCATCTATCCAGCATGTCTTAGAAGTTTCCCCATTTCAACACACCTGATTTGAATCACTGATGATTAGCAGTGTTCTGCAGAGCCTGAGTAGACCAGGAATGGCCACCCCTGAGTTAGACTCTCTTGGTAAGCAGGGTTAAACTCGTGCAACAGCGCAAATCACAACAAAGATGGAGGGCAGACAGCAGCTTGTGCATCTTCTCCTTGGTCTTTGGTTTACTATCCACACACACGTTACCATGGTCTAATTAGCTAGGCTCTGTGCAGTGAGAAGGATGACAGCCAAGCTGAAAAGAAGACTTTTGGCTTGGGCCTTGAGATGGGAGCAGTAGAGGAGGTTCAACTTTGTGTGACTAAGACAAAGACGGCAGCGCCATGTGGTAAGTAACTTATACTGTAACCTATACAATTTCAGGGCAGCACCACCACTAACTAACAATGACAGGACGACTGACACTAGAAGAGTAAAGTTTCACCCAGAAATTCAGCAGAGCACGGGTTGCACGGGAACATTATTTTGGCCAGCTGAAGGGAAGATGGCGCTGCCTCCTCAAAAGAGACTTTGATGTCCAGCTGGTGAAATCTATGGTGCTGACCTGCTGTGCTCTGCATAATCTCTGAAACCTGTGGGGACCCCTAAAAGGTCTTGTGGGATGCTGAAGCACCTACACTGGTGGCAGAGAGGGGAGATGTCAGAGATGCTCTGATGTGGCACCTCATGAGCAAAAACTGTTAACTTTAGCTTTAAGCATTGGCTTCTTCATACTCCTTGTCAATCTTTCTAAAGGTTTTTTTAAGCTTAATTATTACTATATTTCTTTTTTTTCTGTAATATTCTCTTTTGATGTTTATTTTTTGTTTGAAATAAAGATTCTATTTTCATGAGAGATACTTTTAGTGAAAATCAAAATTTGAACCATTAAAAACTTGTTGACTTCACCCCAAATCAAGTTAGTCTTTACCAGTCAGTGTATGCTCAAAAACAATAGAAAAACATGATGCCAGCACATAAAACATTCTTTTTTTTTATTAGACAAGTGAAACGATCTACAACAACTAAAACTGATTAAAAAAAACAAACATTGATTATAGAAAATGATTATATACTACAGTAATATACATTTTTATATAACAAGCTGGCCAAGGACACCGCTGAGAACAGCCAAATGCTGAAACTATTGTTGAGCGATTCTGATTTATGTGGCCTTGCTTCAGACTCATCCTGAATCTGTTACTGTGAAATGCTTTCCATCATTTCTAGATGACCCTCTGCAACTCACTGTCCAAAACTCGTGACCATAGGTGAAGGTAGGAACGTCAATCATGAGCTTCATTTTCCGGCTCAGCTCTCTCTTCACCACGACAGACTGGTACAAAGCCCGCATAACTGCAGACGCAGCATCAATACGCCCATCCATCTCACACACCATCTGTCCCTCATTTGTGAACAAGACCCTGAGATTACTTACTTCTCCACTTGAGGCAGGACCTCACCCCTGACCTGGAAAAGGCATTTGACTCAAGACCATGATCTTGGATTTAGAGGAGCTGATTCTCATCCCAGCTGCTTCACACTCAGCTGTGAACCGCTCCAGTGAGAGCTGGAGATCACATTCTGATGAAGCCAATAAGACCACATCATCTCCAAAAAACCTGATCCTTAGGCCACCAAAAAAGACAAACATAATTTATTTGGACTTGAAATATAGACACATAGTAGGAAAAAAGTTGGCATTTATTCCACCAACATTTCCACTATTTACAACACAATGATTTTTTTCAATGAATAAAATAATGCTAAAAATGTATACATTTTGAAACTATCAGCCAGTACTTTACAGACTTCTGTTTTCTTTTGTCGAAAGCCAGTGTGCGATGTGGGTGTCAATATGTTGTCATCAGTTCCACCAAAGTGATTTTCTTCTTTCCAAACTTCTCACATGGTTTCACTTCAGTAAATGTGCAAATAATCCAATGATCTCACACCCAAAGATTACAGGATCAATCCAAAAACTCATAGCAGATCTGTGTATCAGAACGTCATCACTTTGCCGTTTATTTCAATTGTAATGCATCAGAATCTTCTCACTTCCCTGAAATGAAAGAAAACACAGCTCTAATTGGTTTTAAATCCACCGGCTACAGCAGCAAATCGTAGTTCCAGTTTAATGACGTAACGGAGCCATAGAAAATCATCTGATTCAGTCAGAAACTACATCTTTTCAGCTTTTGACTTTATTTAAATTAGAAAATTGAAGATATATATATATATATGTGTGTGTGTGTGTGTGTGTGTATATACATACATATATGTGTGTATATACTGTATATACATATATATGTGTGTATATATATATACATACATATATATGTGTGTGCATATATATATATATATATATATATATATATATATATATATATATATATATATATATATATGTGTGTGTGTGTGTGTGTGTGTGTGTATATAAATATACTGTATATATATATATATATATATATATATATATATATATATATATATATATATATATATATATAATGTGTGTGTGTGTGTGTGTGTGTATATATATATATATACACACACACACACACACATGTATAGATGTGTGTATACTATGTGACAGCTCATTTCTCATCAAACAACCTTGTCTATGTTTTAACATTCATCTATTTTACTGAGGGCTTTCTCTGTGAACAGCTCCGCTCTGGGACAGATGTGTGTGTGACTCCTGGCTCACCTTAGCACAGACCAAAGCTGCTAGGAAATGTAGCACAACATCATGGCATCTGTCCCAGAGCCTACACAGGGTTCTGGCGTGCTTTAAGTCTGACAAGCCAAGCATGGGAGATTCTGTGTTTTCACAACTTCACCATGTTAAGTCTTTGAGTCTGACATTAATGGGTGAATAAAACAAAATGTGGCCACAAAAGCAGGCCAAGGGTTCAGTTCTTGCAGAAAATAATTAATTGGTTCTTTGTTTAAATACATTTATATTTTTTCTGTCCCTAACATTGCAGCTGCAAATCTTAAGCAGTTTGAAAATCTGTTCAGCATGTTTAGTCTTTTGTTTAAATGAACACAGCCGTGCATTTTTACCAACAGGTCTGCATCATCGACATAAACTGCAGGTCTGCATGCAGTGGTGCCCCCAAGGGGAGGCCTGGGGATGATAGCCACTGCTGGAAAATTGTTGGCCACCCCACAGCCCCCCCACACCCACCCCCCTTTCAATAAATCCCATTGAAGTTCACACAGATCATACATTCATCTTCTTCAATCAACACATAAATGCTAAAGCTATTTTAAAATAACTAATACATAATTTGTTTTATATCCCAGCCAGCATACATAGGAGGGCCCCATATGGGCAAACTGTATGGGCCCTTCATAGGTTTTCAGAGGGACTCAGATGGTTTGACTCATACATGGGCTTGTTAAAATCTGTGTGAGCAAATCCCTGTAGGGGAAACCATGGAAAAACCCTGGTTGCACTCATACGGTTTGCCCATATACATCCATTGGGGCCCACCTATGCATGCTGGCTGGGATGTGGGAGTAAGGCATGGATGACCAGAAAATAACTTTTATTTTTCATGCATTCTTTTTTTTTTTCAATTATTTTTTAAAGGGGAAGAGACTTAGGCTTCCCAATGAAGTCCAGTGGGCTGTTCCCACCGCTACCATTTTGGCTGCATCATGTGTTCTGTCATTTCTGGAAAATACAGAAATGGAGCTGATAGCTGGGCTTTTAGGGTGGCGGCAGATGACTGACATCTGTCAAACTCTAACAAGGCTGCTGACTCTCCCGTTTTGAGCGCATTTAATTGTTCAAAAGTTGGCGGCCCAATCTAAGCCGATGCAGCTATGAGCTAAGTGAGATAACCAAAGCTAACAGAGGTAGCGGGCGCTTTTAGCTAGAAAACTGCGGTTGAGCGTCTCTGCTCTCTGCCTTCAATGCTGTAACAATTTTAAAGTGAGGCTGAAGTTGTAGCCTTCCCTGAAGCGAGCACAGGAGCAAGCCACAATAGCTAGCGCTGACGACTCATTTGCTACCTGTAAATATGCATATATATACACATACACATACATATACATATATATATATATATATATATATATATAACCCAAAGTTATTCATAATTTTCAAGCTTTGATGACATCTAAACGGATGAGTTACAAAAAACTTCACCCCCCTCAGAATTGTCACGACTGTAAACTTTTTGTCAATCCGCAATCGCTTCACATTTGTCTGGCGGAGTTTGTCCTTTGGTGCCATCAAAACCTTTTCTCTGGCCTCAGCTGGCCCCCAAAATGTTCTGGGAGCACCGATGCTTAAATGGTAAGCTTGCTGTGTTGTTCACACAGCATGAAAAGAAGAATAGTGATTTCCTGGAAGACAGCACTGCCAGTCTCTGCTGGTCTCATTTAAGTAAAAGATCTCACAAGTTACATATTTGTCACAGAAAATGTAAATTTGCTGCATTGGTAAGAAGGGAAAAGTGCCT